AAAAAAAAAACTGATTAAAGAAGAAAAGTTTTATCTTAGTAGTCCTTATCTTGCAGTCATTTCAGAAGAGAAATTAAAAAATATTCAAATCATATTTATAATGCAAAGGAAAGCATTAAGAATGACATTTCTTGAATCAGATATGACTTTGAAAATATCATACAATTTTTGGCAAATGCAAAGCCCTATCCTCTTGCATCATTTCAATGTTTTAATTCACTCCATCTTTCTAGAAGTAATTCATTTTTAATAAAGGAAATTCCATCAGATCTCTTATTTTTACTTCTAGAAATGAGATTATTCTTCATTATTTTCCCTCAGGAAAAATGCTATAGAGCTGAAAAGATATTTCAGTGGGCAAAGGAATCTAACAGCTGAATTTGACCAGTGCAACCCATGTTATGACAGAAGAGAAATGACACATGAAAATTATCCTCTTACCTTCCTCCCAATGCAGTGACATGAGATGGAGACCACATAAGCACACAGATTAAAATTGTCCCATATAATAAAATTTTAAAAAGAATGAGATGAATTGTATACACCATCACTGTTGCTTGCTCTGCAGCTGGGGTCCCACTGTCTGGTCCCAGGGGCAGGGGGTGAACAGATGCAGAATCAAATGACACAGGCCCTGGGAGGATGTAAGTAATCTCGTTTATTAAACAAAGGACTGACATATTCATGTGTGTACTTTTTGGCGGGCTCTGCTTCCAGCTGCCCTGGTGTTTCCTGGCTGGTTCTAGGTCACATGCCAACAGTGATATTGAGGGTCCAGTTTCAGGTCCTCTAGGTCAGGGTACTACTGTACATGTCTGAGCTCTTTGTTAGCTTAAGGCATGAACCAGTTCTTTAGGCCTTATCTGCTTCATATCACCCTTTTTATTTTATTTTGTGGCTGACAGTGGGAATTAGAGTTCTTTGCTCTAATCTTGTTGTCCCCACCTCAGTGGTTCCCCAACGTGGTGACTGTGCCTCTCTTAGGTTGGCCTGCCTGAGAGGCTCTTACCCATCTCTGGCTACCAGGCCTCAAAGGGTGGCTACCCTTGAAAGTACTTAGGGTGCAAAGCATTAGACAGAGCTATCAGACAGAGGCATCACAAACTTCCATGACCCAAGCTCTTATTACTTCCTTAGGGGAATGATGAACAGGGTGTTCCAGAGCCATTAGCAGTTGCAGGGTCGTTTTGTTGATGTGGCGCTGCCGGGACACATGCTGTAGGAAACACATAAGCAATAAATTATTAAGAGTATCATTCCTCTAACATTCCTCATTCCATAATTTTTGAAGGATCTAGGATCAATTTTATGTGATCTCAAATTTGTGTAAAGAATGTGATAGATAAGTCCAGTGATTTCACACATGTGGAGTTTAAGTTTAAGATTTCATTAGAGAGTTGTAATGAAAGGTTTAAGAATTCTTTGTTCCGGGGAGGGGAAAAAAAAAAGAATTCTTTGTTCCATGATCCCAATATGATTTCCCTTAATTGACTCCTGACTTTTGTTATATTTGAGATTGGGTAAGGGGTTAAACAAAAGAAGGAAAATCGGGGATCACAGTTTCCTCTTACCAGACATCTTAATATCTGGATTTCTTCATCCAATAAAACTAGTTGTTGCTGTAAATTGAGGATATCTGGCTGGAAATTAATCAGCTGTGGAGTATTTAATGCTCAGGCTGATTACTCTATGGCCTTATTAAGCATAGAGGCGATGGCTCCCATTTGAACCAGGGAGGCTGTGGCTGCTGTGCCACCTGCCACAGCAATCAGAATAGAGGCCATTATAGCTGCTGTTATTCCAAAGTCTCTTTTTATTTTGGTTTGTTCCATCAATTTCACTCTTATGGAAATGTGTTACATTGGTCAAAGGTTCCCAAAGAAAAGAAGGGAGGCACATCACTACTGCCTGTGAGGCCTCCTCAGGATTCTAGCAGGGTCCCAGCTTACAAAGATCCTGAGTGCAACTTAGCATTGACATTTGGGGCATTTAGTTTTGGGCCTAGCTTTGGGACAGTCTCTACAAAGGTGACCTGACTGACCACAGCCCCAGCAAGAATGGTCGGGTGGTTAGGGGGGAGAACTTTCCACGATCATTATCTTTGGAAGCTAATAGTGCATTGAGGGAGGCTGTAAGGGCAGCTATTGTTTCTACCTAGGGGTCAAGATCTCGAGTAGCAATGACCCATTTATGGATGTCCTCATTACAAACTGCTGCAATTACATTGGAAGTAGGGGCATTAAGCCCTTCCCATGTTAATTACTTAATGATCATTTCCCTGGTCGGGCCAGAATCAACCTGTTTCTCCACTGCCTCATTTACTGGGCTAAGAAGTCAGTAAACATTTCCTCTGGCTGCTGTATGAGATTACAAAAGTACACAGTTGGTTCCTGTGGAGTACAGGACTTCAAGGGTTTAAATGCAAGGTCAGAGACTTGCTGAAAATAGGCATACAGGGTAATCTGGGCATGCGTTTTGGGACTAAAAAATTGGTCCCTGCCTGTCAGCATGTCTAGGGATATAGAAATATTATATTGAATATTTAGATTTACCAGTGTTTTAGCTTCTTCATAAGCAGCACACCAATTAAGAAAAACTGTGGGATCCAATACAGATTTCATTAAATGCAACCAGTCATAGTAGGCTTGTAAATGCATTGTCCATTGTCCTAGTACCTGTTCAAAATATGCCCTGTCAGGAACTGGTTCATTAGCAACTTTATGAATCAAAGACAGATTTGTAAGAGAGGTGGGTGCCCAGGGCTGGGTGGCAGCATTGGTGCTACATTAACTGGAAGGGCAAAAGAATTGGTAGAGTGATACTTCATTGTTGGAGCTTGCATAAGGTGCTCAGGTACCTGAGCAAGGCAGGCTTTAGTTACTGAGGTTGGTTTTGCCTTAAGGGAATCACAGTGATGCTCTTCAGGGCATGAGGATGAAGGCAGGTCTGCTAAGGATAGAGACTTGCCTCTTTGGGAGATGAGGAAGGAGGGGATTGTTTAGGAGGTTTCTTTGATGGGTCAGCCTCATCCTCTGAATCTGTCTCTACATATGAAGGTGGGAAGTCAAGCAAGAGGGTATCCATATTTTGTGTTTTACAGTGGTCATTAAAAGCTCTCCGAACATCATCTTGGTACCTTCTTTTATACAAGCTACAATACCTAATAAAATAGGAATAAATGATGCATGTGGAAATTTACCTTCCTGAACTTTTCGTTTTCTGGCTAGGAATAAGATCCGCATCCAAAGAGCTGGATCCCAGATATTATCAGTAGATATCCAGGGTGCTATGGCAGAGGCTTCAACTCAAAAGCTGGCCAGGTTTGTCTACTTAATATGAATATCCCTGGTCTGTAAGAGAGTTTTAAGTGCTAATATCTAAGGTTCTTTTATGTTAGCAGGGAAGTTACCCATTGTTAGTTAAAGCGAGGATAAAATTACACTCTCCTGGGGTACTTGAGAAAGCTGTCAGCAGGAGTTAAAAGTTGAAGCCCTCTCCTGATCAGAACTTCAGCCTCTGAATGGGGCTGGGTGCTTCTGAAGTATGGGCATGAAAGGCTGTAAAAGCTTGGGGCCCAAAAGCCCCTTAGTGATGGTAGCTGCAGCCACAGCAGCCTGATGCTTGGAGACCTGGTGGGAGGGGCCTGCCTTTTCTCATGCCTGTGTAAGAGGCAGGCATAAGAGAGTGCTCAGATTTTAGGAGGATGTGCCATCTCTCTGCCTCTGCAACCAGGTGGGGTCTGGGGTGGGGGGTGGGGGGTAGAAAGTGCTCAGGGTTCAGGCATACCCTCCTTCTCTCTGCCCCAGGGATCAGTAGGTGGGAGAAAGCCCTTGGGGTTCTGGCCGACATGCCCTCTCCTTAGCGCGGGGCGGGGGCGGGGGCGGGGGGAGGAGACAGCGCATGGGGTTATCTGGGGGGAGGGGCAGGGAGAAAGGGCAGGCTTATCTCAAAAAATGCACAGGGGCAGGGCAGCGCTGGTGAGCAGCTGCCTGATTGGTGGAGTGGGACAGGGTAAGTCTGCTGCCTTTGTCATGCCTGGCCCCTGCTGACCCCTCTCAATTATGGCCAGAGTCTCCGGCATCAGTCTCCTTTCCCCTGGGGCACAAGGATCATGTCTCTGGGGCCCTGTTCAAGGCGGCTGCAGCTTCCTGGAGCTTGAGGCTTGGTAGTGCCACCATGCAA